ATGTTCAAAAGTATCCAGACAGCATTTTTAATTAGTGAGTTCAGCTACTTTAAGGTGCTGACAATTGCGCACATACAGTTTGAATAGAATGGGATGCTCTGAAGCAGCTGCACATGAGCCTAAGTGCACCATGCCCAACCCTAAGTGTCGGCTGGAGGGGTATAAAGCCCCCAGCATTGTGTTGTGGAGGAGTGCAACTGCATTCTCTGGTGTGATGGTGCTCTATCCAGTACCTTTGGGATGAGCTGTGCTGAAGGATTTGGGGCAAGTATCCAGTTGCACTCTTTTTAATCAGTATTACAATTTAAATTCTGATTGTTTTCAATTAATTAACCTCTAGGCCTTTGCCAAGAAAACCACCATATCCATTTTTCCTGGTGTGAGGCCTGAATGCTGAACCTAGTGCCTCAAGCTATCAGTTGTGGTTATGGTGTCATGTGCACCGCACATGGATGTTTGGTTGCTTATGATTGGTCTAACTCATACACATGCAGTTTATGAACTCTGTGTTATTAGTAGGAAGGTGGACCACAGTGAAGGAAAAACATGAAAACTATCCAAAAAAGGCACTTCAGTCAAAAGTGATGTAGGACTAAAGCTTAAGGAATCCTCTTTCTGGTGATATTGCTGGTGTTAAAAGCATAGTGTAAAACTTTAATGGCAAGTGGAGGAATACATTTAAAAACATGTTTTATTGTTCAAAAAAAGCCAAGAGAAATGGGTTATTGTTGTGTTTGATGAACCAGAAGCTGCCTCTTCAGATGAGCTAAAAGTTGATGCTAATGGAAAATCTTCATCTTTTGCAAGATGTTTTTCTCCTCAATGGAAAATGTGCCTTATTTTATCTGAGAAATACATTTCTTCTTGTGATGATGTCAGTGGCCAGCACACATCACCAAGACTGTCTACGACATTACATCTCATTACAGAGAGAGACATTGCAAAAGATAAATGTGTGCATATACCTTGATTCCAGAGAAATGGTGGCATAGAGGTTTCTGTCCTCTTAAAGGAGCTGAGTGATGTCACAGCTATCCTGTGGAGGGGGAGCAAAGCTGGAGTACAATCTGTAGAGAGAAAAGTTGCATATGCATATTTTAATGGTTGATGGTGAGCCAATGTTGTATGGTCACCCCTGTAATCTGTATCGGTGTGATCCAGCCTCAATTAGGGCAGGGCTTAGACTATAAAGCCTGACTTTAGGGGTTGTTTGGAGGAGAAAAAAGAGTAGGCTCAAGACCTAGTGTGTAGTCTGTTTGGCCTTGCGGCCTCCGGACATATTTAGTTGCTTCAGACTGATGTTTAGACTGTGAGCATGAGTGACTGTCGGATATTAGCTGAGGAGCTAATGGAGTAACCTAAAAAAATAGTTTTGTTTTTGAACCTCTAACACTGACGTAAATATGTAAATATGCTTTTGTAATTGACACTTAATAAATGGCCGAGGGCACTTGAACTTATCTGGACATATATGTGACATTACTTGAATGGGAACCCGAGGCTTTCCTGCTCGTAGCCTCACACTACTGTTGACATTGTGTCACACTACATATGGTAATGATGGTGCACCACAACACCACTGTTTCTGGATATAACTTATATCATTTGGAGTAGTTAGCCTATTTAGCAATAAAGCTGCACAGTGTCTGCCCTCTCTCTCAGTCACATCCTTAACAACGCATCCTTGGCAAACCTTGTGTTTCAGAGTGGCACAGTGTGTATACATACTTACAGATGCAAGCAAAACACTAACATTTTACAGTCCAGTTAATCAACATTTCACTGAATTGTTAGTCTGTATATTTTATCTTCGTCTTCTTGTGATGAAACATAACAAATACCTAAATAATGATTTTAGTATTTAAATACTGATCTTTCACAGCCGAGTACTCACGTCCCTGTTCACTCATTCCTTATTAGGCTACATTTCCCCCACTTAACTTGTTAAGATGTTAATATAATTAAAACTGCAACTTTTACGATTTGAAAATTGCACACCTTCAAATTCAGTATAAACACGATTAATCGTTCGATCCTTGTTGGATTGGAAACTAATCATCTAACACCAGTACTTGACCTCACTAATGTTCTGTGGCTGAATGCAATCAAATCCTCAGAGCAATGTTCCAACATCTAGTGTAAGGCTTTCCCAGAAGAGTGAAGGCTGTTACTGCAGCAAAGTGGGACAAACTCCCTTGATTTCAGACGAAATGTTGGATCTACAAACTTTTTGACACACAGTGTAGGTTCCTGATTCGTCTTTCTCTTCATTAAAGTCTGCAAAAGTCTTCAATTTAAATGGAACAGCTTTGGTTATCTTCCCATTTTCACTCACTCTGCAGTGCCTCAGATTCAAATCACAGGCGAGCTGGCGTGAACTTAATTAGCTGTTGTTGTGTTCCTGGTTGAACAGACTCCCTTCAGATGCCTCTGGCTTGCAGTGCTCTCAGTAAATCAGGTTTTTATCTGATAAGCACTGTGATAGAATTACAGTAACTCTCTGGATCAGTGGCAGAATACGATGTATCTATCTTCCTATTCTGAGACTTCCCGTATACTCAATAGTTTTAGCATAATGAACTCTTTCCTCTAAATGTTCAAGCTACCTGCGGTAGGTGCTACAAATCCCTGCACCATTTTGCACAAACCCTGTCATTATATGTATAAAAATAAAGCCTTAAATCATGAGTTTGAGGAGATAATTACATCCAAAAGGTGGTGGTTATAAGTGTTGCTGTCTCGTTGATTGATTGTTACGAACTACATGCCTGTCTGAAGTTACTGCTACCATGGAGACCATGAGTATTTTTTTTTTTTTAGTTTGAGAATTTGTTCTGCAAAAAAGTCAATTTTAAACCATTTTACACCTCACTGGCCACTTTATCAGAAACACTTAAATTGTAGCTCCCCTTGCTGGAGATCATAGCCCAGCTCTTGATGCTCCATTTGCGTTATTCATCTTCTAGACCTTCGTCAGTGGTCAGTTTCTGATCAAAAAGCCACTCTTGGATAGGTATTTTTGGATGGTGAACCATGCTCAACCTAGCAGTGACACTGGCCCCAACAACACCACTGTCTGATACGCTCTTACCAGCACCACATACATGCCACACCACTACCATGTCAGAGTCACTACTGTGCTGAGAATGGACCCCAGTGATATCTGGTCAACAGTGGTTCTGTGGTCAGAAACTGACCAGTGATGAGAATGCCTGATAAATTGAAGCAACAGATGGGCTTCAGTCTGTAATTGTACACCTGTATAGTGGATCTGTAAGGTGGTTTGACGTCATAAAGTTGACAGTGAGTAGAAGCAGAAGTTTCTAATAAAGTGGATAGTGAATGTGTGGAGTACCAAACATCATTACTAAGTACTAAAGGTGGTACCAATCCGATACCAAGTATCGGGCCCATATCAGCAGAAAGTTCCATCAAAGCGGTTCCGGCTCCTGGCAACTGTATGGATTGTGTTTCTCCAGAATATCCTGTCTTCTGGTTGAGTCTTCAGGCTTGTTCCTGATTCCTCTAAACATCACCATCTGTCTTGTTGCTGGTCATGCTAATAGTCTTTTCCAGTGAATTGGTTCTTTTCATTATATGTGCAAAATAAAAACTTCAGGTTGGCTGTCTGGGCTTCGAATTAGAGGTGAGGCTTGGTCAGATCATGTGAGTGAAGTTGAGCAGCATATGTTTTTCCGCTGCTCGCTCAAAGCTTTTCTGTAATCACTCCGCTCCAGCTCCGCTCTGGGTTTTCTATTTCCCACTCCCCGCTCATGTCAGAGAAACCACGCTCCATGTCCACTCCTCATGATTTATTCTTAAGATATTTATTTTATGTCTTGAATATATGGACAAGACACTATGCACTTTATTTTATGAATGATGTAATTTATGGCCGTTATTAAATGAAAAACTAGTTAAACATTCTGTGCTAATGGGCATGATGAGCAAGCTGTAGCAGTCACTGTTGCATCACACGTCACACAGAGGTAGTCAGGGTGGATAGAGCAATACTGGAGTGGTATTGGAGTGAGAGAGTTTCTGGGAAGCCGGCCCACGCTCCGAGCGAACTTATGTTGTTTTGCTCCCTGCTTTTCACCACTCACATGCTCTGGGCTTGATATATATGCGGAGTGTGTCTGTGTGAATTTGTGTCCATTCTGTCAAAGAAAGTTCAGGGCTCTGTGCAGGCCACTGGAGTTCCTCCACACCAAACTAATCAAACCATGTCTATGGACCTCACTTTATGCGCAGTGGAACAGGAAAGTGCCTTCCCCAAACTTTCGCCAAAATTGGAAGAATATTAATTGTCTAAAATGTCTTTGTATGCTGTAGCATTAACGTTACCCTTCAATGAAAATAAGAGGCCGAGCCCTAAGCCTGAAAAACAGCCCCAGACCCATTATCTCCCTCCACCAGACTTGTGTTCCTTGAGGTAGTGTTCTCCTGGCATCCGCCAAACTCAGATAGATCCATTAGACTGTCAGATAGTGAAGTGTGATTCACGACTCCAGAGAACACATTTCCACTGCTCCAAAGTCCAGTGGCCGCGTGCTTTACACCACTCCTGCCAACACTTGGCTGCTTAGCCAGGGAGACCTATTTCATAAAGCTTCTGATGCACAGTTCTTGTGCTGATGTTGCTTCCAGAGTCTGTTTGGAGCTTTTGTTGCTCTTAGATGCTTCAATTTCACAATAACAGCACTTACAATTGACTAGGGCAGATCTAGCAGGGTAGAAATTTCATGAACTAACTTGTAAGTGACATCCTGTGACTGAAGCACGTTTAAAGATTTTGACCCATTCTACTGCCAATGTCTACAGAGATTATGTGCTTGATTTTATATACCTGTTAGCAATAAGTGTGGCTGAAACACCTGAGCTTAATAATTGGGAAGGGATATGTATATATTACATATAGCACCATGCGCAGAATGCTTTTCATCCATTCAGATTGTGCTCTGGCGAATAACTGTTAAATAAATTGTTTTTATTGGCAGGTCTCCTGGAGAAGGAGCCGCTGCAGGAAGTGGACGAGGACATGGTGTCAGAGGTGGACTTGAACAACACTATAACACAGGAAGAGAAAGAGGAAATGCACAATGAGCTGACTAAGGTACTTTCTACTATATTTCTCAAGAAATGTGCCTCTCACTATGACCACTTCATTGATGTCTTGTCTGAAAAAGTTCTGGACTGTAATGGATCTGAGGCCAAGAGAGAACCTGTAAGCACTATGGCAGCTTTGCTGTGGAGCAGGAAGAAAGTTTGGTGTGTGTTATGTAAATCCTGACAGCTCTACAGATAGAGCTCTTTTATATGTCATGACTCAGCACTGATGTGCTTCCTGCTCTTGTTCTACATCAGTCCCTCTCTTGCTTGTGATCTAGAAAGGGCTGGACATAGTGCACTTTATGCTCAAAATCTCATTTGAGTTCATGTGACCATGAGACTGGGTCTTTTATTTTCTGCCCTGCAGCTACAACAGCCCATTGAATTCACTGGGTCACATAAGGCCGGTATGACAGCCGCAGGGGCAGTGTGTATGTTCTAAACAGAAAAAACACCAATCTTCACTCTATTCATTGCTCATCACAACTGCAAAAACAGCACAAGCACTGACCATTTATTATTGGACACTTCATGAGCTCCACCTACATTACTGTGCAAAAGTCACAGACCACCCTTAATTCATCGTAATTCATGTAAGTTGTTTATTTTTCAGCATCAGGAAAAAGCAGAATCACATCAATTTAATTGGAAATTACATAAGAGCCTGAACAACTAATATAATATGAACATTTTCAGTGTTTAGTGTGTCCACTCTTTGCCTTCTGTTATTTTCAGGACACTTGGTTTTAGTTTTTCAAAGAAATCTGCAGGAATATTTTTCTTGAAAGTTCATCTAAGCTGAATTAGCTTAGATGTTGGTTGCATTTTCTGCTTCTCACTATGTAAGTAATCCCAGTCACAGTGATGTTGAGGTCTGGACTCTGAGGTGGTCAGTCCTTTCTTCTGAGAACACCAGCAGCTTCTTTGTTGATGTGTGTGTCTCCTTTTCTCAGTGAGGCTTCTTGACAGCTACACATCCTTTCAGACCCATAGCGCCGAGTTGTCTTCTCACAGTGGAAGGATGGACAGAAACACCTGTGGATGTTTTCAGATCTGAAGCAGCTTGATTTTCTCCTCTCTCTCAAAGATGAAAGCTTTAAGTGCTGTTTATCTGATGGGGACAGGGTTGGTGGTCTACTAGGTCTTGCAGGTGGTTGTTAGGAGTCCCATTTTCTCTGTAGCTTTTAATATTTTTTTGGATTCCAGTTGTGTTTTTTCACTTATGTGCCTTTGCCATTTTCCTTCCTATGCAAGAGGATAATTATACGCAAACTCTTCTGAAATATTTCCTTAAAAATCAATAACTTGTTCCATTTGACTGGAAGTGAAAAAATGAAGGGTGGTCTCTGACTCTGAACAGTATTGTACCTTATAGAACCACTTAATAGGAGACTGTAGCTCATCTGTTCCTGCACAGTTTATTAGCTGCCCTCTACCCCAAACATTGGTCAGTTTCTGATCACACAACTGCTGATGACCAGATATTATTTGGGTGGTGGTTCATTGTGAGCACAGCAGTGACACTGATGTTGTAGTGTGTGGTGCTGGTACGAGCGTGTCAGACACAGCAGTGTCGCTGGCGATTTTCACACACGTCAGCGTCACTGCTAGGTTAGGAGTGGTCCACCAACCAAACAGTGCCCCGCCAGAGCAGCTCTGAACTCAGAAAACACACTGCGGGGCTAGAAGACAGTGAAACCAGCAAGATAAAGCTGCAAGATAGGGGATTTCTAATAAAGTGGCCAGTGAGTGATATGCAGGTAAACTGACGTGTTCCTTTTGTCAGTTAGAGGAAGAAATCACCACCCTGAAACAAGTGCTGGCCTCCAAAGAGAAACGCCACTCAGAACTGAAGCAGAGGCTGGGGATCACACCACTGAGCGAGCTGAGACAGAACCTCAGCAGGGGCTGGAATGACATGCAGACGAGTACAGCGTAAGTAGACACCTGAACACAGGAAACCCCAGTCCTGGTGAAGACTTGTGAGCTTACAGCTAGTGCTCGGCCATGTTGTACAATTATACATTTATGAAACATATATTAGTCACACATTCAGAAAAGTCTTGTCAAGTTAATTGCTTCAGTCAGTGGGGAAACCTCAGGGCCCTCTAGGCCTACATAGAAGACCTAGTGATTTCTGGGACCTAAAAAAAATATGTTTGTAGTTTTCAGTTACTTTTTATTTCATAGAATCATCATACTTGCTGTATTTAAACTGTCCAAGTATTGTAGTAATACTCTTAATTGATGGTGGAGTTTTGGTTGGGGAAAAAGTACTTGCCCAAAGAAAGATTGTCCAGTGAGACTTTAATTTGACTGTGGTATCTAGATTCACAGTTGAGCAGGCTCTCCTATTGGTTAGGCATTCAGAAGGTGGACTGAAGGCCTGACATGTCTGATTATTTACCAGTACAATTAGTAACTGACAGTGGAATAAACTAATCACATTTTGAATTTCGATGAGTGGGACTAATTTCGTCAGAAAAAGACGTCACTCATGGCCTTCTGGAAGTTCTAGATTTGCCACTGGCTGTGAATCTGAGCTGTGGGCCCTCCACGTTTTAGTCAAGTGAATGGAAATAGAAATGGAAACAGCTGTGGCAGCTCAGTGGGCTTTATAATGAAAATTAAGGTTACTAATTTTATAGGGAAACCATGTAAAGTTGTTTTTATCTGTTCTGAGCCCACTAGCCAACGAAAGGTCACTGCAGCAGGGTCCGCCCACCCAGTTTCCAAAGTAATGACTGTCAGTGCTTTGTACATTTAAAACAAGAAGGCAGCCAAGAAACTCCACAAATGGAAATGAAAGTGCTGATTCGCTTTGTAATTTTATTCAAGCTCGGTGGCAGTCATTTGGATATGTAGTGTACTCAGTGTCATTAATATTATTTGATGATTCGTGTGATTATTACTGAAAGTTTTGGTAAGTGGGCTCAGTTTAAAATGTCCACTACAGTTTAGCATGTTAGTTAATGTGACTCGGATATAACGTATCATACTGACTGAGCTAGCCTGCTAATGTCAGCCATTCGTTGTGAGCATATAATATTTTTCAGCGGATTGCAAAAATCCATGAATGGAAAGACCATTTTTAGGATATATTTAAGAGGCATTTTAGGATGCTGAAAAAACAGGTTTCACTCATTAAAACTGGCAATTTCCAAAACTGCTAAATAAAACTGCTAAGTTAAAATTGATCATTTGCGAGATTCAGATAAAAAAATGGAATGTGAATCTAGAGGGTCCCAAAATTTGTCATGTGCACCAGCATTAGCTTAATGCTAAGATACTTTTTAAAATATTTTAGCATTACCGTAGAGGTTTTTTTTCTTGTTTTGACAGAGATTTTACATTGATGACATTTATGGCCATGACTGGAGGGTTATACAAATTTTACACCTATTAACTCTAGTTCCAGATCTTTACAGTATCAAGTATATTAGTAAAACCAAAAAGACATTGAGTTTATCGAGTTAGTCAAGCAACATTAATACTCAGATGAACCTAAGGCAATATCATGTCTATAGAAACAACCTTAAACAACTTAAAAGCCTATTGCTAATATGTAGCCTAGTAAAACTAGAACTCCATACAGAAAGCAGAATTCATGATAGCTTGTTTTTGTTTGCTGATGCATTTATTAAGAAGAGAAACGTTCATCCATTTGAAAAGAGAAACAGCACTTTTCATGCAGCTTCCCTGATCCTAGAGGTGCTTCCTTGCTGTCAGTGCAGATTTGCTTTATAGCTTTGATCTGCCATAATGGCTGCAGCACAGACTCATTCAGGCAAACGCGGACACTCAGTCACAACAGCCGCCCGTTTCCATTAGCACAATGACATCATCGGCACTGCTGGACCCTCAGCAGCACCGTGAAAAACACTGTCGGGGAGCACGAGGCAACCTTACATGGCAGAATGTGACAATTTTATGTGGGTTATTTAAATTTAAGTACAACATATTTTGGTCATCTTGTATTTTCATTGCAATGTGAAACCTGCACTCACAGCAGTTGGACAGATATTTCTCATGCCTGTTAAATGTTTTTGATTGCTGAGTTGAATGTATAAACTACAGAATTCACACCAGTGTTATTGTAGTTTGGGATTTTTAATTAGTTTTTATTTAGTTTTTATTTAGTTTTTCTTTTTCATTTTGGTTTTTAATTCAATTCATTTTCAGTTAGTTTTAGGACTACATTAAAAGTTTTCATTTTGTTTTTTATTTTCTAAAAAAAGGAGTTCCGTTTTTATTTAGGTCAGTTTCAGTTTTGTTTTTTAATAATATGATGAATATTTTTTCAGAAACTGAGTGTACTCAGAGTAATTCCAAATTGGACTGCAGTTTAATCCAGATGATTTTTTGCTGGTTTAGCACTGCTAAATTATGATAAACAGAAAATGATGGTTCTTCAGAGGTTTTTAGTAAAGAAAATAGTTCTATATAGAACCATGAACACTCAAAAAACCCTTTGCATGATTAAAGGGTTCTTTGCATCATGAAAGTGTTCTTCATATTGATGAAGAATGTGCTGTAGATGGTTCTATATAGAACTTTTTTGAAAAGGGTTCTATATAGCACCAAAAAGGATTCTTCTATTGTTACGATGTCAAGCTTTTTGGTGCTACATAAATCCATTTTCAGGCTTATGTGTGCTTTTATTCAGTCAAACTAGCTTGTATTACCAACTATGAATGTAATGAAAATGAAATGACTTGCAAACGTAGAAAAACAGGTGTGTTTGGAAACTACACAGATTTACCACACAGACCAATCCAAAACTGACATTTTTAAAGTTTATTTGTGGGTTTGGAGATGGGTAGAAGACTAAACCCTCCACTATGCCATGGCATCATTTAAAGCTCAGCAGGCATGTCTCTTGACCGAAATATATCCACCTGAAAAGAGCTGAACTGTGGCTAGCAGTGGTTGCTAAGCAGTGATTGGAGGGCTGAGGAAAATAGGGCGGGGTTTGAGATGGTTTTCATCGGCTCAGACCCAGATGTTGGACATCTAGTTGCGCCCCTTCCGCCCCTTCACGGCCATATACTGGATACTGTACTGGATACTACTTTAAAAAGTAGCATGCAGCATACAGCATATTGCTGCTGTCGGAATAAAACCTTGTATCTCCATTTTTGACGTTTTTCAGTTCTTGACATAATTTGAAAATGTCTGTGGCCCTTTACATGGTCTGTAAATTTCATGATGAATGGACCAACAAGAATGGCCCAAAATAACTGGAAAAAAGTCTGGTTCCATTGACATACATTAAAAGTAAAGTATGTTTTTTCCTTCTCCTTTAAAGTTATCATTTTGGAGATACAAGGTTTTGTTCTGACAGCAGCGATATACTAATGCAGTATGTAGTATAATAGTATGCTATTTCGAATACAGCTGTTGTGCATATTTAACTCATCCAGACTAGTCCATGTGCCAAAAAATATTCAGTGGTTCTACCAGTCAGAAACTGACTACTGATGAAGGGGACAGCACACTTGTCAATACTTGTCTTATTTAAATGTGTTCATTGTTATACATTGGAAATGGTATCATTCTATGTTGAGTGCTGAATAGCTTTGAAATTGATTTTAACTAAGTTTGTTCATTTATAATGAGCGATAACAAATGGCCAAAGCACATAATATATGATCCTGTATCTTCACACAGTTGGCCACGTATAGTAGCCGATTATGTGGATACTACAGTGCTTCTCACAGTTAACTGAAGGATGTTATCAGTCTCATTTAGGCAAATGAATGCTGGTCTGCACAGTGCACAGTGCATTCCATAGTGACAGTTTTTGGAGTTACATTCCAGTGCACTGTATTTGAGATAAAACAGAGCCAAAGCACAAGCAAAACTGTGTCAATGTTCAGTTACTTACAGACTGCACTGTCTGTGGTTATTAAGTTACCACATGGTGACGCGTTAACTCACATCTCAAATGAAAAGCCCCATCTCTGGTCGCGGTTGCCATGGTGAGGGGACCGCAGACTGAGAAGGCTAACCTGATCAAATACCACAGTGGGATCTTCTGACTGATGTGGATGTCTCCCAACCCTCATCAGCACAGTTACCCCACGCACACAGGTTTGTTTTTAAACAATGTCAGGATGTGGGCTCCTACTTAGCTTCCATATGTATGTATATACAGTACTGTGCAAAAGTCTTGGGCACCTAAGCACAATATTTAAAGCCATTTATCTTGGCAATAACTATGTCTTTGCTGTATCATTAAAATTAATTCAAATAAGCATAAATACAGTGAAGTAACGATTTTTTTTTCTCAAAAAAAAAGTAGTTGATGTCTTGTGAGCTAGTTTAAGGAACAAAGTTTTGTTTCAGATGTCTCCCCAGCACCCCCAACCATCGGATGGATTTCTTAAATTTCCTCAGCAATTGATGTAATGCTATGAAGTGTTGATTTGCCTAAATAGGTATGGAAATTGTTAAACAAACACACTGACATATATGTAAAACCACCACTTGTTGTATTATCATTATTTGTTTTCATTGTATCACTACTCTTTTTCTGAGCAAGTATGCTTACTTCCTAACTTTTTAATCTAATTTTCTCAGTTGCTTAAACTTTTCCACAGTACTGAATATCCATGACCTTTGATCCCCTAAATTGCATGACACTAAAAACCAGCATGTTTCTGTAATGGAATACTTTGACAAACCATTGTCAAGAAACACCGTTCAACACTGCATCCACAATTGCAAGCTCTATAAAGCCTAGAAATGCTGCTGACTTCTCTGGGCCACAGCTCATCTGAAATAGACTGATGTATAGTCAAAATGTGTACTGTGTCCTGATGAGTCAACTGTTAAGATATGTTTGGAAACAATGAGCACTATGTTCTTTAGGCCAAAGAAGAAAAGGCACATCCAGATTGTTACCAGCATGAAGTTCTAAAGCCAGGGTCTGCCATGGTATGTGGGGGCATTAGTGGGAAACTTGCACATTTGTGAAAGCACCATTAACACTGAAAGATATATACACATTTTGGAGCAACACATGCTGCCTTCTAGATGACGTCTTTTTCAAGGACATCCATGCTTATTTCAACATGACATCTGCAAGCCACTTCTGCTTGTGTTACAACAGCATGGCTGCATAATCAGAGAGTGCAAGTATTAGACTGGCCTACCTACCACAGATCATTTCACAGTTTTCAATTTGATGCAGATGAAATAGAAATGACAAATTACTGACTTTTTAGAAGTTTATGTATGTAAGTGTCTATATGTAATATGTCCCACAAGTGTTATTAATGAGAAGCTACGTGTAAAATTATATGTCCCATATGTATTATGTCTGAATGTCTGTGTAATAATAATGTACCCCGTATATATTAATTATAGGTAACATATTATATGTAGCTAAGTATCTATGTGTAATAATAGTATATTCCATGTGTATAACATGTAAGTTTAGAACCGTTTTAGAACTAGTTACCGGTTCAGGTCTCTATTGGTGTTGTTGGATATACTAGGGCATCATCTAATGTCAGGTTTACTCTAGGTCATTTCTTAAGTGCACTGAGCTCTATGCTTTTAGAAATGTGTGAGCTGTATTCTTCAGGAGGTGAAGGCGGTGAATTTGTTGGCCTGACTGCTGGTATCGGAGCAGAAGTGGCTGGTGTAGTGTTACAGGACACTGATAGAGTTACAGGACTGCAGAGCTGCTCACAAGGCCAAGCAAAACAAAGAAAGGCAAATGAGAAAACAAAGGAAAAAGGGTTCTCTCACTTTAATCTGTTGACTACAGTATGTCTCCATGCATTAGAACCAGGCCCAACCTGTTTATCTACCATGGGCCAAAGGACCACTGTATAAAATCTAGATCTTTGCTGAACATAAATTGAACTTACTAAAAAAGTTGATGATATTGTGTATATGTGAATCTAAAGTAATGCTTTATACCTGTATCTGCCATTATAAACGCCCCTTTAATAAGTCTGCAGGATCTGGTTGTTCTCACCGATTTAATTTTCTTTCTCCTCATGATAATGCCATCCCAGACCAAGTAAATGGCTCTGTGATTCTTTAAAAGCATCAATTTTTTGTTTGATTCATAAAGTGTTTAATATCTGGGAGACAGTCTGTGGTACGGCACTAGGAAAGACCAAATTAGGCGAGGAGCAGCAGTCAAAAAACATATTTTTTTCCTGTGTGACAGGAAGCGACATCTACCTGGAAAAAAACATTAAGATGTATATCTGGATGAGTCTAAAAATATCAGAGCACCACTGAGTTTGGTGAAAAACAGTAGGTAATCTTGTAATCTTCTCAGGGAAGGAGGGAGAAAAACACTGACACAGCCCAGCCGGAGTGTTTTTGTGTAAAGTCTTTACATTTCCATGTACATGAAAAATAAGTCATTTTTTCACCTCCAGCGTGTAGCACCAGGGGCTCAGTTCCACCACTGAGTGTCAAAGCCAATACTGTAAGTGTGAGTGAGCTAATAAAAGAGGCTTACTTGTTTTCCAAAAATGCTTACTGGTCCTGCCTGTTTCTTGGGTTGTCACAATATATTTTAACTTGAATGTTGCAGTTGTACAGTAATGCTTTAAGTAAACAGCTCTGGCAAAGAGCTGCCTCTGTTTTCCATTTCTTACAACTGACTGAAATCTGGTCAGACTATGACTCACATTCAGTCAGTGACATATTTAGAACTTCCAGAAGATCTAGAATGATGGTTTTTTTTCTCTCGAAATTAGTCCCACCCATTGGAAATCAAAATGTGATTTGTCAATTCTGTTGTCAGTTCCTAATTTGGTTGGTTGTTATTCTATTGTGTAAGGCCTTCTGTTGAGCTCCTGAAGGCCAAACCGTTAGGAGAGCTTGTGTGGCTGATTCCACCTAGGAAAAAAATCAGTTGTAAACATTTTGTTTCCAGCAAAAACTATGAAATAAGAGTATTACTACGATACTTGCAGAGTTGAAATACAGCAGACCTGATGATTCTATTAAACAGTAAAAGTGCCCCTTGTGGAGAATCCATGAGGCCCTTTGAAACAATTTAAAAACAGTGAGGATTCCCTGAACAGCTTTTTCTATGTTTGAAGTTAGGCTACAAACACAAACAAATATGTAAATTATTATTTTCAATATAGGCTGACAAAAATGAATAAATATATTTAATTCTTTAAATTCTTATGATGATGCAGATTTGTTGTGACAGGAGCTGTTTGCTTCATACATTTTACTATACACTATATATTTATATATATTTTACACACATCACTGAGAGTGAGAAAAATCATCACGTTCTATGCATTTTTAACAGGACAGCAGTTTAGTATAGAGCAGCTTATATGTAACTCACTCTCCATGTTGGAGAGCAGAGTTCAAACTCAGTGCTCTTGTAAATAAGCACTTGATGGGCTTCTAACGCTACATTCTGCCAAAGTGATCGTCACTTTGGCACTGTGTGTGAAGTGTTTTGATCTGTACTGTTATCGCAGCCCTTAATGATGTGTTTATTGCTCAAAACCCATGTCACAGTAACAATAAATATATCGTGCAACCCTACCAAAAATCGTTAGATACTCTCTGAAGGCCTAGAAGGCCCTGAAAGTTTCCCACTGAGCTGTGCTAACTACTGTTTTGCATCTTTGATGGTGTCAGTATTTAGGTTACTGTGTATTGTTTGATATCAGTGGTGTTTTTAAAGTACTGGTAACATTAAATCTTGAGTGCTGCACTAGGCTGAAAACTGGCCTTCACAGAAACAGTTTATCTTGCTGGTTAGCACTGTGTTCCTCATGATGACAGCTAATCTTTCTTTGCGTGCTTCACAGATACAAAAAAACCTCAGAGACACTCAGCACTGCAGGCCAGAAAACATCTGCAGCCTTCAGCAACCTGGGCACCGCCATTAGCAGGAGGTTTGGAGATATGAGGTATGGTGTTATGTCTTTTAGCATTTAAAGGAAAAGTTTAGTCAAAAATGTTGCTAACAAACAATGACAGCGAATAGCATTACACAACTGCTAACTGACGCCTACTGCCTTCAGTTGACTGCCACGTTAGCATGTTTGTTCCACATAGTTCTTTAACCTGCTGCTTCATGCATCTGGCTCTGTCTGCTGGGTCTGGCTTGCACCATACTGTACTGCTGAAATCACATGCTAGCCACCACAGCTTTGTCCAATTAACCTCACAATACACACACTGTCTGCTGCCGTCTCGTGCTGAAGACATGCAGACGGCTCCGTGATGCCTGGTTGTTGAGAAGGGTTTAGCCCAGACAGTCTGTTTTGAGAAGGCATGTTTGTGTTACATAAGCATGGATTTAAGCAGCTTTCGCTGGGCACAGGACTGGGCAGCTTGGGGATCAGGGCTTCTCGTGGCACTGTTGGAAGGAAGCAACACAAAATGACAACTCCAACGCCATATTGCAGAACAGAATCGTGGAGGAGTCGCCAAAGATGAGCTGTGCTAGATGTAGTTAAAGATTCTATGTTCTACATTTTTCTTGAAATCGATTTTTCTCTTGAATTATAACTACTTATATTGTGTGTTTTATTTGACATAACAGTTGTGATTCCTTTTGCAAGATCATTTACCAACCTTTGTCCCTTTGAATCGTGCAAGCTGTTTTTGTTGCTCCACGTTTAAGACTGATACAGTTGTATGCAAACGTTTGAACACCCACAGTCAAGTGACGTTTTGTTAATTTTCTAAGTGAAAAATAAGTTAACGCTTGCTCTACAGACGACCAAGTTAAATATGGCAATTGCTGCAAATTTTAGTGCACAATATTTTATTTATTGTTATTTATATTACATATTATTTATATACATTTTATTATTTTTTCCAGTGTGTTAAATTCAGCGAATAAACAGTGATTATGCATTAGTGTGTTGTTCAACTTTAGATGATGTGCACTTAAAAAAGTATATTACAATGTAATGTGACATGATAATGATAAATATGGCCAAAAGTATGTGGACACCTGACCACATATTTTTTTGTTTGTGTAATCTACCGCTTCATGGCTGAGCTGCTGTTGCTCCTAGCTTCCATTTCATGACAGTTGACCAAGGCAGGGGTGTCCTGTGACAGTGCCACGTTTAAAGTCACTGAGCTCTACAGTACAGCCCGTGTTTGTCTACGGAGATGCATGACATAAAATATAAAATGCACCGAAACTTTTGCACAGACCATGTTTTATTATTTTTTCCAGTATGTTAAGCAAATAAACAGTAATTGTGCAGTAATGTGTAGTTCTATTTTAGAGAATGTGTACTTATTTTCCTTTAGACATTCAACAAAACATATATTTTGACCAGGTGTCTCCAAACTTTTGCATTCGACTGTATGTATATATTGAACCACATTCGTAAAGCAGTCTGGGCTGCTTAAGTTCTTCAGCCACTAATTTCAGATGTATAGATGTATAGTTGTTTGTGATATGAGTGATGTGGGCCCTTTAAGCATTGTTTGTTCTAGTTGTACAGTTGAGCACATCCTGGTCCTGAGGGTGACGCTTTGCAGATGGTAAACACGCAGTGCCGTCTGCCATCGTTCTGCCAGTGTCTTGTGCCCAGAACACTGCAGTAACTGTCTGTCATTTCTTTAGGCAGACACAATGTTTCCTTTATCATGATACTGTATCATTCTCTGTGACTGAGGCCTTTGTTTTCTTCCTCTGTTATTTGCTTCACACATTCAAGTCCGTCCTCTATCATTACAGTAAACTAACAGTTGTTTTTCTATTATATTGTACTATATTGTAAATCCAACCCCTCGTTCTCCTCATTTCACTCCAGCATATTTGAGTTACTGTATTCCAGGAGGTATGTGCATGTGTCTGTTTTGGGGTTTTCCTCTTTTAGTGCATGTGTGTGGTTTTATCCTTTCATCTTTGCAGTGTAAACAGATGTCTAATGTTTCACAAATGTTAGTTTTTGTAAATTTGCATGACCTGAGAATTATGAACACTATGGCTGCACAGTATAGTCTTTGATAATTGTTACTGCGATATTAGCCTTTGCAACATTGACATTGCAGAAGGCTACAACATGCGTTTAGCCCAGCAACTTAAATGTTTTATTGTGTGCTATGAGTTAGGAGTGGGTGATATGGCAAAAACATAACTTCACAATACTTCCAAGGCGATAAGCATCACAGTAATTTTTTCTGAAACGGTGATAGGTTGGACCAGACAAAAAGGAATCAATTAAACAGAGCTAAATGTTCTCTCTTAGTAATAAAACATGCAGTTGGTTAGTGTTCTTTAAGTGCTCAAGGTATCCAAGGTAACCATACTTAGAAAAAAATTACGTGACATGATAATGATAAATATGGCCTAAGGTATGTGGACACCTGACCACATACTTTTTGTTTGTATGGTCTACTGATTCGTGGCTGAGATGCTTCCATTTCACAGTAATAGCACTTACAGTTGACCGGGGCAGATCTAGCAAGGCAGGGGTGTCCTGTGACAGTGCCATGTTTAAAGTCACTAAGCTTTTCAGTACAACCCATTCTACTGCCAGTGTTTGTCTGTGGAGATTGCATGGCTATGTGCTTGATTTGTTAGACCTCTTAGCAGTGAGTGTGGCTGAAACACCTGAACTCAGTACTCAGTACAGCCATATGGTGTATCATCATACTGCCCACCCATACTGTGAATATCCTCATCCTGGACAACCTCAGCTGTATCTGTGGGTGCTTTGATAAATTTAGGCACTCACATGATCTAACAAATGTAAATGATTTTGGCCAAGAATAATACAGGTTAATCTAAAACCACAATGATACGCTGATGTGTTTAAAATACAGTACTAAAAGCTATTTAATTGGACAGTAAGTGTTTTTTTATGCAGAAAAATACTGATATTAGAATAAAAACAAACAATATTAATATAGTAAGTAATAATATTATGTATGTCAGTGTTCATTAGTGTTCATTTTGCTTTGAATGACCATATACCTTAATTATGTTTATTTTATTAAAATAAATGATAGTGACAAAATGGATTGTTTAAACAAAACAATCATAACACTACTGAAACTTTACCAAGTGTTTCAGTATTGACTGTTTCAATAGTGACAATTTTAGTTAATTTTGATCATATCGTACAAACTCTAGCCAATACATGACAAGCTAACACAGCTTTGAACAGTTATACATACATAAAATCATGACGTTTTTATTAAAACATGCAGTCTCACTTCCTGCTTGAACATGCAGGGGTTTGGCTAAAAAGGCCCCACCTATGGACTAAAATTTTGGTTGTGTTTCGGTAGTGACATGAAAAGTGGGACAGCATTTTTTTTTAAGTTTTTTTTTAAAAAAAATACCTCATGATAAATCTAAATCATTCAACTTTCAACTTTTTAAACATTAAAATGTAAGTATTATTTTCCAAGTTGTAAATTTAGGGATTAGGGTTTGGGACAGCCAATAGAAAATCCAGTGTACATGATGATTTTGTATATATTTATCTTATTGTAATTTCTATTACTGCCTTAATATAGATTAGATTTAAATAGATCACAGCATAATCTGTGTAAATATCTAAGGTCTGAGTGCTTAACTGCTTGTTTTTAATGTTTTCTTTTTACTGTGGGACTGAAGAAATTCAGTAGAAAGGTCAGTGTAGTCTGTTTAAAAGCAAAAAAAAGTTTACTGCCCAGATATATGTTTTTAACAGCTTGCTTTGGTTGTCTGACTTCTTTTAAATTGCAAATGGAATAGCAATAAAATTGCAGTTGCCATATATATTGCCATATCTTGCAGCCCTAGAACACATTACATGGTTTTAATTCATCTCCGTCACTAAAAACAAAGCTTTAGCATTATAACATATGCTCCACCGAGCTTTATATCAGTCTGCACTCGTCTTCAATAATGCATGCACTTTTTGTACAATCAGACACTGATGCAGCCTTTTATAGATGATGAACTGGTCCTATTTACATAATTGCCTGTTTTGTGTGCTCCAAGTCTTTTGCGTTTGCTGCAATTTGGCAATGAAAAGGTTCATCAGCAAGTCAAATAGCCCTCGAATAGCCTAATAACCTTCTACTTCTACTTCATCAGTGCCTCATCAATATTTATACCTGATTTGTTTGGTTTTTCTTACTCTGAGGGTCAGCTGTGTGTGTATGTGTGTGTGTAGGTAGTTTGCTGTGACACACCTCTCAGTAAAGTGTTTCTTTCTTCTCCTGTTGCATATCAAAAGATCACATTCAATAGGGTAAGATACTGGGTGCTTGCATGAGTCTGTACATGTGGTCTGAAGTGTTTTTCAGTCTCTGCATGATATTTGAGAAAATCTCCTGAAACAGAACCAAACTGACCTGTACGCGAGACGCACATATTCCCATGTAATCTCCCTCATGACACCAGAGAGCAGCTGAATACCATTAGCTGTAGAGGCTACTGTAGGCTAATCTGTTACTTTCTAGCCATGCCAGTCCAATAAGAGCTAATTGCTAAAGCATGCGGTGTACACAAAGCTTATTATTCATGGTCAGTATTATATTATATTGTGTAAAAAATAACATAATAGTTATATATGCTACAAAAGTGAATTCAGCATATAATTCTGTCTCTTTTGCCCCTCAGTTCACAATCAAGGTAATGCTAGGAATGCTAGGCTAGGAAATGCTACTCTCTTAAAGATGATTCTTTAAGGGTTTTTTCAGTAAAGGTAGTGGTTCTATTTAGAGTCCTTTTCATGCTTAAATGGTTCACTGCATGGTAAAATGGTTCTTCTTTGATGGAGAATGTGTTATTCTTTTTGTAAATGGTTCCGTGTAGCACCAAAAATGTTTTTTCTGTTGTAAACAAGCTTGCCATTTGGTGCTATATAGAACCATTTTCAAAAAGGTTCTCTATCAATCAGAAAAAACCATTTCACCTTGCAAAGAACCCTTTAAGCATGCACATGGTCCTTGAGTGTTCATGGTTCAATATAGGACCACTGTCTTCACTAAAGAACCCTTGAAGAACCATCTTTTTTAAGAGTGTAGCATTTAGCTGTTAGTTTAGCTTTGTCTGCTTTGCTAGGCATGTGTGTTACTTCCAGTAGACCTGTGGTGGAAACTGCAAGTAGGAACTGATACAGCACTTTAAATAGACTGATCCCAACATGCTACAGTTAAACCAAACTGACAAAAAGGTATCTTGGCAAGCAAAATTATCTTAAATCTCAATATTTCTAAAATTGTTCATTTTTAGACTTACAATAAGATTTTCACTCATTTCTAGACCTTTACTTGTTTTAAGTGATTTTACTGAAATGAAATGATCTCACTGTATTGGCAGATAATTTTGCTTGTTGTAAGAAATGTGCTTGAATTATCTGCTTATATAGTAAGATAATGTCACTTACTAAAATCACTGAAAAGTAACAAAAAGGTCTAGTGAAATAATCATATAGTAAGCTTACAACAGTTTCAAAATGAGAAATACTACATATATTGAGTAGATATTTACTTAGTAATTTCACTTGCTAAGATTAAATTTTTTAGCAGTGCATCTGCATGTAGTGTATTTGTACCCACCAGTAGGGACACACAATGATATTGGAATCATATCAGTACTGACAGATATTTGCTTTAAAATAATTATCAGCTTCAGATGTCTAGATTTCAGCGATATTTCAAATTGGCATTTGATTTCGTATTTGTTGGGCTGTGCTAAAATGTCTGCATTCTATTAATTTGACTACATTTGTAAGCTTCTACAAGTATATGTTAAATTTCTCTGTAACGCTAATCCAGGTAGTCCAAATTTCTACGGTTTATAAATGTTTATGCATGGATACGTCCAGGAAAAATATAAGACAATGGCTTTGGCTTCAGCCCACAATTCCCATATCAGTGCGTCTCTACTCACCAGACATGCATATTGCACAGCATAATCCATGCAAAATGTTTATTGTTTAGATAAAGTCAATTTCTCACACTTACAGTGCCCTTCAAAATTATTGGCACCTATAACCATCAATTAGATTTTGTTCATAAGAATTTTGAGGGGTGAGAATAATTGACCTGTCTATGCTCCAGCTACAAATGCATTCTTCTGTAGTAACTGTTGGACAAGCAGAAGAATGATGATGCTGGCAGAAATCCTATTCAGCATAAGGAGAAACTGCACACTCAGTTTTTGTCAAAAGGCCTAAATTTAGAGCATTTTAATTTCCTGGTATTTATTTTATATGCGTAAGAAGTCACATTGTTATTGGTGGTAATAAGTTCGGCATAGTTGCAAATTTTATTTGTTTTCCTTTACAACTTAGCCTAGCATAGCATTTAAACTAGAAACTCAATGGGCCTCATGAATCAGTATCCAAGTTTTTTCTTACATTTGTTCTTGAGAAAGGTTCTAAAAAGTCTGTCAGATTCATGATGTGCTCTTAAACGGCAGAAAAGAAAACACTGGTGAATGTCAATGTATAATTGGGTTTTATAGAGAAACCTCTTAAGAATAGGTTAAGGTTGGTGAGTGAGGCCCAATGTTATATAGCACTTCTACAGCAATTTTAATGTGAATACTTTAGCTATTCTGACAAAAACTGAGATAAGCGCGTTTCTCATTAGACTGAATAGATTTTTTTTTTGCCACAGTTCTGTAAAGCTTGTTTAAACTATCAGCAGTAGCTACAAAAGAACACATTTGGGGCAGAGCATAGGTAAGTCATCTGTGACAAGTTTTTATATTTTTTTTATCTGAATAATTTCACGTCACTGAAAGTTTAGATTTCTCATACCTTCAGCATAAGATCCAGCAAATAAATAAATAAATAAACAAACAAACAAACAGTGGTGCCAGTAATTCTGGGAACATATGACTAACTTTTACTGAAAAACAGGAAGTTTTCAGTTACAATGTACTGTACCTTTCTGTGGTGTACTGGCTAATCCTTTTCTGGTGTGCTGTTTGTGCTATATGTGCTGTCTTGTGTTTATTCATGCTAACAGTCTCTTTCTTGCCTGACCATGCTTTCTTGGGACAGCTACTCTATACGCCACTCTATGAGCATGCCCGCTATGAGGTAAATATGACTGAGTATGTTTAATTTAATCACCAAATTAATGCTGAGTGATACTGATAAAATTCAATATCACAGTTTTCTGTGAGTATATCACTTAGCCTAAAGTTAATGAACCCGTTCTTGCTGAGTGTTGATACTCTAAACTATAAGAATGCCTTACAAACCTGTAATGCTCTGCTGTAGAGCAACTTAGCTGATCAGAATTGTTCATAGTGGTGGTGATAGGAACCAGACATCTGGTGTTTAATGACCTCCCTCATGGTTTTGAATGTGCTGGCTGAGACATTGTTTTACAGTAATTTTACTTTAAGCTTTTGGCCTGAAATCCAAGTACGTGCAAAGTGTATTTAGGCAAAACAGTCCCAAAAGAAAACTTTTTTTTTCATAGTTATCACTATTTTACATATAAGAACTTTTTTACTGACAAACAATTGAAAGGGAATTCCACTAATTTACCCAAATTTTACCATAATTCAGTCATTAAGTTCTGTAAACAATGTCATTCAGAGTGGTTTGAAGTAAAAGAGGCAGAATTGTTCACAGTGGTGGTGATAGGAACCAGGCGTCCACAGAGTTTAATGCCTGTAAAAGCTACCTTACTGAAATTCCACAGTTATGAATGTGCTGCTTGTTTTATCATAGTTTTGGCATTATTTCTTTAAAATACATTCCTGATTATGAGGTACATACAGGGTGTTGTAAGGCAAAATAGTCCTCAAAGAAAACTTATTTTTTTTAGATTTACCACTAGTTTACCATGATCAACATCATATAGAAAACTCAAAGACGTGTTGGTTCAGTGGTCATTTCCCTTAGTAAATAAAGCCAACACAACCCCTGGTTTCACCACTGTAAAGAAATCTGATTCAGTAAGCTTCTCCACAGTGCATCATTTCTCATCAAACCACTTTGAAGGACTTTGTTTATATCTCAAAGACTGAATCATCAAACCTTGGTTGAATGCCCCTTTAACTTTTGGTTACCAAAAACTGAAAACAAACCACTTAGTAACAAGGACAACCACATTTAACGGCCTTTATATCATTGATATAATGCTCATTATCAATCAAATATATCGTTAAACATATCACTAAAACGGAATAGCAATATCATGGTATGTTAATATCATGGTGCACCAGTATAGACAACATATATCGCCCAGCACAAAGCCTGCTGTTCTGTGATGATGATGATGGTTTAAAAACGTTATTACAGTTTAGAAAGTGAAAACTATAGCCTGCAGTCTCAGAGTTGAAAGTGCACATATCCTTTTAATGTGATGTAAGAGGTAAACTGAAACCAGGATGTTAGAACCTAATTGTAGCTGTGTGGCTGAAGTACTGCAGTACAGACAAGTCTTCCAGTGACTGCATGCACATAATAACAGCTGAGATAGTCAATGGCAGGAGCATCAGTACTAAACATAAAGGTCTTACCACTGAGAAATATTCAGTGTATCATATAAACGTGTTTTTTCTCTGTTTTTCAACAGGAACTCGCCTAGTTTTAAGTCCTTTGAGGAGAAGGTTGAAAGCACTGTATCCAACATCAAGGTAGGTCTAACCGGACAGGGCGTGCACGCTTGGCGTGGGTCAATATTGACCAGGGGTTTCAGACAAACCTGAAGTGTTGGTGCTGTCAGCAGCTCAGGAGTATCCGTTAGTCCACTGCTGTTAATCATTTATCTCCTTTGTCATTCACGGCAGCCTGCCAACAGACATAGCTCCTAGCTGTTTGAATAAAGGCCAGTGTCAGGAGTCCTGCCAGCAAGCACTCTGATCTAAGACAGATCTAACAGGACCTTGCCTTACCTTCAGAGCTACATTTAGAGCAGACTTGCACCACTAAGAAGGGAAAATAGGCAGTGAAAGGCTGCAATAGTATAATCTAGAAATTTTCGATTTAATCTCTCACATCTGTATCACACTGTCAAATATCATAGACAACAATTTTGAAAACTCAGAAATGAAAACCCATAAACACAAGCTCACTTATAATAGAATCTACTGGGAGGCTCCTAAATTCCATGAATAAACATCTAAAATTAGACTTTATAATTCAAATTAAAAGCTACAACCACTAGAGACAGCAGGGCACAAACTAAATGCAGTGAATACAATTTCTATCCGATTCAGTGAAGTGGATAATACCGTAAATATTTTTTTTAAATACAAGAATAACAACCATGTAAACGCCTGTATCTGATTACATTCCCAGTCGGAAAGTTTAAGTACGTTCTGCGCATGTGCGTCGCGTCATAGCGAAAGTTTATACCATACAACATGGCGGGAGCAGAAACTGGTCTGCAGAGGAGGCGAAATTTATACGTTGAACTTTAAAAGACGGCGGTGGGCGTCCATCTTATGTCTCTCAGATAATGACGTCTTCCTCTCGCCTTCTTTGATAAGTACATGTGAAGTACGTTTTTCTGAGTCTGCCATAAATTTAAAGGACTTAAAAACAGAAGCACTGCTTACCGCCGGTCGTCTAACGCTGACTGGACTCACGAGACGCTCGTTGTCATAGCAACATCTACATTCGGATTACTTGTAATGTACATGTAAACAGATTTTTTTTTTATCAGGTTGTTGAGTAGAGAGCATATAAACACCTCAGGCTTAATCTATAATCTGAATATATTCAATCAGACTGGCAAAAATCTTTGCATGTAAACATAGCCATTGAGAGCTAGTCAGGCTTAAGTACAGCCTCCACATGGCGAGGTTAGTTTTAACAGTGTTACAACTAAGCCTCCTACAGTAAACAATGGAATAAATCCATATCCCCATTATTTGTTCAAAACTGCCAGTCATTTAAACAAAAGAAATTTCAGTTGTGTCAAAAATAACTTGTTTGACACTGACTCGTTTCACTAATCATATTTATTTTGATGCAGATATTTTTATGTATTCGGGTTGCAAAGCTTGTCTGGTTCAAACAACCTAAAGTTGTACTGAATTAATTGTGAGTGCATTGATTTACCAGACTTTTCTAGTGACTGTTACAGACATTCCCTTAGTCTGATACAATAAACCCTGCCTGTAAATGCTTCCTGCGCAGCAATCTTGCTACTTTCAACTTTGTTTATAGACAGTATGTGTTGGAAACAAAGTTTACATTTTCATTTGTAGTAGAGATGTCTAGGTAGCATGTGTAAAAATATTATTAGGCTAATCTTAGGTTAGGCTCAAATACTTAAAAAATAGTTTTGCAAAAAACAGAATGTGTGCCCTGCTTTCCCCTACGCTCTAATACTCTACAGGCCTCTGCATGTTTTTACAGGGCTGTAAAATGTGGTGTGTTTACATAACTGCGAAGGTAGAGATAGCAGAGCTTTATCACTAGCTCATGTTAGCTAAGTCCAGAAGCTGTGAAAATATATTTCTCTGACAAACTAACATGTTAGCACATCATCCACTGAGAAGAAAGGATCTCATGGAGAAGATGACGAGTCCTCATCAGCATCCAGTGTTGTACTGGCTCTGTTAGCTCATTAGCTTCTCTAAGGAGGTCACTGTTACTCATCCACAATGAAAACTACCAATTTCCCTTTGTGATTTTTGTAAAAGAAATGTTTTCAAATATGTATTTCTACACAATTTCTCTGCAGTATATTCACTTAAAAAGGTAGGCCTCCAGCCTTACATGAGTGGCAGCTGGAGTCTGTTTAGTTTTGCGTTTACCCATGATTACCAATAATTACCCATTTGTTAACCTTTTACGGACGCTTGAATATCAAAATTAGTCGGAATGCACATCAGCGATCAGACGGAGCCTGTGAAAACCCCACGTGCAACACTATGCAGGTTACTGCCACAAATTCTACACACCGCTTAATTTATTAATATCTATGACTGAAGCGTTTATGAAGTGTTCTACAGAAATGCATGTTTTACATAAGTGTTTACAGGTAGAATTCATCAACTGCCTATCAGGTCAACAGCGGTGAGATTCACAAAAGCTTTCAAAAGAAAAAACTTCCAAAGGATCTTATGACAAATGCTAAGATGTTCATAAGAGTGGGCCACCAACCAGTCTTAAGAAGAAATTTCTTCTTAAAACCCACTTACAGAGTTTTCACAGAGATCCTGGCATTCACCAATGTTTCCTTATTTGGGATTTGGTTCTTAGGTAAGAACAGAATCTACACACGCTCAAGAGCACAAAGGTAAAAAAGATCTATTCTGTGGTGTAAGAACACATTATGAATCTGACATAGACTTTTTCTTTGGACCTTTCCCAAGAACAAATTTAAGAAAAAACTTTGGTGACTATTGGTGAATGAGGCCTAAAATATGTCTAAAATACAGTTCTAGTAAAATAAACAAAGAAAGAAAGAAAAAAAAAACCTCAAATCTCTTAAGGAAGTTTTAATTATTTTAAATAGTAATTGTTTTCATATATAGGCTACAGGTTATTTGTCATGTAGGCTATCAATATCATATTACATTTTACCTACTACCTGAAATTATCCATATTTCCATTACCTTTTTATTCAGTTTAGTCTTATCAGTGGCTGAGGACAGCAAAATAAAGGTAGATCTAGTGCTGGTGGAGGAACGAGCCAATAGAAAAAAATCTTCTTTGGCTTATTTTACCAATTATATGTTGTAATAGTCACTGGAAGTGACAGCTTAAGAGGCTTATCCTGTCAGTTCTTACAGTGTAAGATGTGTGACCATCATAAGGTTAAGAAAATATTCAAGTTTTCTAAGAATACCACTTGTTCTTACAGTTGTTCTCAAGAGAAAACTTAAAGTAATGAAAATTCTTAAGAAGTGTTTTGAAAATTAATTTATCTCAAGTATGTAGTTAAGAAAAAAATGTAAGAATGCATTTGTGAATCCAGCCCCAGATCCAGCGGGTAAAGATCAGGTTGAAAAATGCTGGAGTCCTTCTTTAATTGAATATGTGAGTTTGCTCTACTGAACACGGTCCTGCTGTTGTTTTTGTTTGCTGTCCCGAGCAGTCGAAGGTAGGCAGCAGTGGCAGTGGAGGAAGTTTTGAAGAGGTTCTCTCCTCAGCAGCTCAGGCTAGCGCTCAGGACACCCCCACTAACACACTGACAGACAACAGCGAGCACACCTGCTAACCAGCCTGACACAAGCCTGGAGATGGAACGGTTCTGCCCCTCTGCGGCCAGGAGGCTGCATCGCGCCCTCAGGAAAGAGTTCCTGAAGCCCAGAGTCAAGTAAACCAGCCATGACCAAGCAGTTTACCTACTTCTTTCACCAAAATGTACCAGAGGTTGTGTGTCTTGGTATGGCTTCTATCCAAATATGTAATCAGTTTCATTCTTTTGTACTGAAAAAGAAATCCAGTGTATTCATGAACTAAACGTATGTTGCGCTACCTTCCTGGTAGCTGTTTGTGTTTATTTGTTACAACTTTGAAAAAAGATGGTTCTTCAAGGATTCTTTAGTAAAAAAAAATGGTTCTATATAGAACCATGAACACTCAAGGAAGCCTTTGCATGATTATTGGAGAATTGATGGAGAATGTGCTGTAGATGGATCTATATAGAACCTTTTTGAAAAGGGTTCTATATAGCACCAAAAAAGATTCTTCTATTGTTACGATGGCAGGCTTGTTACAGTAGAAGAGCCCTTTTTGGTGCTGTATAGAACCCCCTACAGCACATTCTCCATCTGTCTGAAGAATCCTTTAATCATGCAAAGGGTTCTTTGAGTGTTCATGGTTCTATATAGAACTGTTATCTTTACTAAAGAACCCTTAAAAAAACCTTTATTTTTAAGAGTGCATAATATGTGAAAGTATGTTTAAAAATACTAATCATGAATCAATTTATTGGCCCAAATTCAAAAATCATAAGAAGAAATACTTAAAATGATAGACTGGACTTTGAGCATGGACTAAGGCAAGACCCAATGCTTTATTAAGACATTTGTTTTACAGTGCACAAATAAATGAATAGCCCAGATATCCTTATTATGCATGCATTCTGCAAAACAAAATGCATGCAACCATGTTATAGTTACTGAGCTACCTGGAATCAACATGCAGACTAGTTTTAAAATGTGATGTTTATTCAGTAGTAATAATTTATAGCAAAATTGGGTTTATGATTTCTTGATTTTTTTCCATATAACTTGTGTTGTGGACTTACACATTTAACATGCTAAAAAAACAACTGTATGTAAACTACGTTTTATAATGTTATCAATGTCCCCTCTTGTATAATAAATTTGGAAGTTTCTGTATAACTTTAAATATTAAAAGATTTCTTGAGAAGTCAGCCAATCGTGGCTTATCAGTAGTTAAATGAACATCACTCAACCACTTCTCTAGATTTTAAAGGGGCAATACGGCCTTAACTTTGCATTGAATGTTATTTGTTGTGTAACATCATATTTTCTAACACAGCAATGCATCCCTGATCCTCACTGGTTTGACAGAATTTTTACAATTTTGTATTCACCCTCAAGCATCCACCTTGTAGTTTTTCTAAAGTTCTGCCCACCTTCAAGATGGGACTGCTGGGGCACCGCTAGAGGAGGCGAGTAGGCATGTTTACAACAAATGTAGCGATGGTTACATGTTCCATTTTGGCTGGAGTCCTAGATCATAATATACACTAGTGGTTAAAGACATCAGGACTGCAGTCACATCAACTTTTCATGTGTTTATTGCCATATTTTTGGCCAAAACAACCCAAAACAAAAAGTAAGATTAACCAAAAAACCTTTAGATTGATGCTTGCTCATCTGAAATGCTATGAATTGTATAGTACAGTACACAGTTCTATAACCAGCTCAAAATCTGAAAGAGTGGATGGATAATGAGCATGTGCAACTACTCATTCTCAAAAAGTGCCTGGATAAGGCCTAAATCTGCTGAGACAGTAAATAAACAGGAAGCTGCATCACAATTTATCAGTCATGGCAGTAAGTGCATGTTGAGTCATACCCACTTTGCCAAACCACAGGACTTCTGTTTAAGCACACCATCAGGAAAAGAAATTCAAATACAGTTATGTTTACGTACATTTTCCAAGTCTGTGTATGAGGTAGATATTGCAATTTCTCCTCCATACAACAGTCAGTTAGGGGAAAAAGTATGATATACTATATTCCAGTACTGGGCAAAAGTCTTGGACAGATAGATGGATAGAAAGATGGATATCAACAAACTGCACAGATAAACAGCTTCACATATTTTCTCAAATAGCCTAAGACTTTTTACAGTACTGTACAGTTTCGTTAACACAGTTTCAAACACTTGAACATAGTTTCAGGAACACAGTTCAGTAGAACTGTTTAGAATATTTGGGGGTATAATCTAAGCCAAAATATAAAAACACTTCTGGTAAAACAAATTTAGGAAGTTAAGGAGAAAGAGGATAGCAGGGATGCAACATGAAATTCCTGAATTTTTTAACCAGAGACTAATGCCAATCACACTTTACAGGACCAGGGACAAACTTCACTCATATCTTTTTTTTGTTGTGGGTGGTAATTAATAATTACCAAAAGTAAAAAGTAATATAAATTACCAAAAAAAGTGATATAGTACATCATGAAATTTAACACTGATTAGCTGTAGTGTCACTCTTCTGCTGGGGTCATGATGGGTTTGGTTTTGTGTGGCAGTTCAGCTCTGTTTTCTTCTCTGAGCTGGACTCTCCTGCTCCAGCAATGTTGCGAGCTCGCTCCTCGTTCAAACTCTTTACAAGTGCCAGCACTTCTGGGTGACGAAATCGGCCTGGGACAAACAGAAAGCAGCCCTTTTAATACATGCACATACCTTCACAAGCCTTCTGCCCACTGATGGGCCTATATTGGGGGTGTAAAAGTGCATCAGAAGGTGATGAAGATTTGAGTGCGTCGATTTTGAAATGTGAGAATCCATAATCCATAATAGTCGCTTTCAAGAGCGATTTAAAAAATACCCACTTTTCTGCACCACCTGCACATCATCTGAGCGCACAGAAAAAAGGGGCTGTAAATACAGACTGCATGCTGCTTCTTATGCTGACAGACTGAGGATCCTCTTAGAACACTTTACTCCAACATGCACTATGCGACTTTTAAAATCTTATCACATTTCTAAAACGGAGAGCATCACAAACTTCACGTCAGTTTGTCCCAGAATTCCTTGTTTTTTTGTTGTGAGGCCGCTCACACTAGACAAGGCAAAGAGAGAGTATAACACACATAATGGTTTTCGGCTACACATAAGAACTCAAGCTCCCAGATCTCCTCAGAGATTACATGACACAAACAAAGCTAAACTTACTGGACCTGTTTGTGCTTTTTTGCACAGCGAAAGCACAAACTGGGGATTAATATGGGGCTGAAAAACAGTGAAGTCACAGTGAGAGCTGGAGAAATGTTTCACTGCTAACTAGCAGCTGAGCTGAAACTGTAAAGAGAGTGACTTGACGTCTGGATCCACACATTATAAACATGATAACATTATAATAATAATATCTTATCTGCCTGTGTTTTACACGCAGCTCCTCTGTCTCCGCTCCCCTGTCCAGGCAGTGTGCATGCTTGACTCTTTACCTGTTTCTCTGATTTTCTAGCTCTCTGATTGGCTGTTGTTTAAATTATTAGTTGAGTAAATCTCTGACCATCTCACACTTAAGGGATTGCGAACATTTTGAGTCATACACAAACATGTTTGATAATATCTGAGGGCCTCCGATCACTTCAGAGCTCGATCAGAGGGCTAAAGATTCACTCGTTTCTCCTCTCACACTATCAGATCATCTGTCGCCGTCAGTTGCTTCTGATCGAGCTACTGACCTGGAAAAACGCTGCAGACATTCACCAGTGTTTTCTTATTTGGGATTTGTTCTTAGGTAACAACAGAATCTGCATACACTCAAGAGCACAAAGGTGTGAACAATTCTGAGCTTTAAGAACACGTCATGAATCTGACATAGACTTTTTCTTAGGACCTTTCTCAAGAACAAATATTAGAAAAAAATTAATATTGGTGAACGAGGCCCTTTGTTCTTCGTAGTTTGATAGTTTTTGCCACAGGTTTAATAAATAATATGTTTACAGCCTATATTCTTGTCAACTCTTAAACAACTTAAGCCTAACTATGGCAGTAGTTATTGCATCTATGCCTTGTCTGTTTGTTTTTAATGACTGATGTATTCATAGCAGAAAAATCTTTTAAGCCCTCTTCATGTTTTGTGTGGGAATCTATTTTGTGCATGGAAAGCTGTGGCACAGTTTAAGTTTCATCAGTTTAAGGATGACAACAGGTAAGAAGATCTAAAGCCAGATAACGTATCAGGGCTGGTTCAGGACATCAACTAATGTTAAACATTAAAAGAAAACTGATTGAGAGACAAATATAATTACTTTTGTTCGTTGTAGAGTCGTGGACGGCATATTTTTGCACATTTAAATTGTCCAACTTGACCCAACCTGAATGTGAGGTTTGTATTCATCACTGAAATGTGAAAGAATGGGATAAACCTTCAGTGGAGGTGAAGAATTCTTGCAGTCTGCCCGGCTTTCCCTCCAGCTCCTCATATTCATGGGCCTGTAGAATCATCTCAAGCTGGTCTAACTCCTTCACCAGCCTGGCCTCAGAACTGGACTGGGTCTCATACTCCTTCAGGGTGACAAACAGAGCTGCTGTCATCACATTACACTGCACAACACTGCCTCATAATTGACTAAATGATAAAGGGGTAAGCATGTTAGTAAACTTGATCTAGTCAATAATGATATTTTTTTTAAATGTGCTATTATACGCATGTACAGAGTTGTCGGTTTATCAGATGCACCTGCCATAAAGGTGAACTTTGTAATTTTGCAGTTACTGACTGTAGCCCATCTGTTCCTGCATAATTTAAACACTGTGTATAGTGACGTGTGTAAAAACTCATCTACACCAGCACCACACACACTACCACGTCAGTGTCACTTCTGTGCTGTGAATGGCCTACCACCCAAACAACGTCTGGTCAATGGTGGTCCTGTGGTGGTCCCTTTTCCCATCAATGGGGTAGAGGGGAGGCTAGTAAATTGATGATGGGCTAGAGAAGAGCTAAGACATAATTGTGCTGCAGTCTCCGATTGTACACCTACAAGGTGCAGCTAGAAGTACGTCTGAGCAATTTGGGGAAAACATCAAAGGTCTCTGACCAATGTTGAGACCACAATTTAAACTGAAATTATTTTCTACACATTAAGGTCTAGGCCTATTTTTTTTACCAAGAAGTCCAGCATATCAGCTTTTTCTGGCTTACGCTAAATGTAGCACGCCAGACTACTAGCTAGTTATGGTTGTGCTTTCATATTTGGTTGCTTCTCATTTGTCTAACTCATCTACATTTGGTTCACAAGCTCTGTGTCATTAGGTCAACTCTCCTCACTTAAAACTTGGAAAGACAGCATTGTTGATAATGTTAGGCTATAATTAAACTGCAGCTTATGCAGTTTCACAACTGCACTCTTTCGAATTGCGATTACAACATAAAGTGATTCATCTTTACATATTAAAGAGATGGTTGGTTCTTTAAGAGTTCTTTAGTAAAGAAAATGGTTCTATATAGAATCATGAACTCTCAAAGGACGCTTTGCATGATTAAAGGGTTCTCTGCATCGTGAAATCTTTCTTCAGATTGATGAAGAATGTGCTGTAGATGGTTCTATATAGAACCTTTACGGGAAGGGTTCTTTGTAACACCAAAAAGGGTTTTTCTGCTGTTAGCTTTGAAAAAGTCTAGGTCTGGTTTGGAGGCTGGTGAAGTTGACATCGATAAAACAGCAGAACCCTTTCCAAAAAGATTCAGTATCGAACCATCTACAGCACATTCTTCATCAATCAGAAGCACAATTTCACGACGCAAAGCACTCTTTAATCATGCAAAGGGTCCTTTGAGAGTTCATGGTTCTATGTAGAACCATTTTCGTTACTAAAGAACTCTTGAAGAACCGTCTCTCTTAAGAGTGTAGCTACAACATAAGGGTTTCTAATAAAGTGGCCAGTGAGTGTAGGTAGGTGTACCTAACAAACTGGCAACTCTGTGTATGCATTGTTTCAGATGAGACAGACAGACAGAGATAGATATCTAATGAGAGACTTACTAAGATAATAGGCATTACATGCAGACTGGACAGAGTAAATCAATGTTTCTCGACTCACCTCCCACAGTTGGTAAAACTCTTTACGAAGCTCTTCACTCAACAGACCAGTAATGCGAACCATCGCCTCCTGAAAGAGTATAAAAAAAAAAACAACAATAAGAGGAAACAGACTCTGGTCAGCACTTAACATATGGAGTGTCACCCATCTGTGTGTGTACTTACATAATGCAAAAGAAACAATTAAATTGCTTTAAAAGTAACAACAAAAAAAAACCTTTTCTCGTCTGTGTTTCTCTGCTTTGCTGACATTATCGGCTGGAGCGATGTCCCCCACAATACACTCGGCTAAGTCGTGGACTAAGGCAAGCTTCATGCACCTGAAATGGGAAGGGGGGGTGGTATGTGGTAGGTTACACAGTGTCATTGTAGTTTGCTTGTTCTACAACAGAGCCCCTCCAACCCTCCTTACAGGAATCCATCTAATGTTAGATTTCATCTCTAACTCATAGAGGCCTTACATACCTGATCCAGCTAATCACTTTATTCACACTTAAGATTTAGGTTGGATGGCACCTCGATATACTATTCACACGCTATTTCATATAGATGAAGTGATCTTTATAGTACTATTACAGCATACTATGGGGTACACACGATTGTGGATTCACTGTTTATAAGGATAACCGGCTCAGTGCAAAGAAACATTCAGCCTAATGAACTGTTTTAGACACCAGAGTTCACCATCTGTGTAATCTCTCACGTTAATGGGAAATTCCAGTAATGTTTAAAAATTTCTGTATAATTAAATCGTTATGATGCAAACAAAGTCATTTAGAGTTGTTCACAGCAGTCGTGATACGAACCAGACGTCTGAAGAGTTTAATGCCTCTAAAAGATCCCTCACAGAAAGTCATTACATGAAATGGTTATGAATACACTGCCTGACTCCATGGTTTTACGACTGTTTTAAGAAGGTTTTAGCCTAAACTGTTTCTAAAACACGTGCGGCAGTCCCCAAAGAACACTTATTTTTCAGATTTTACCATTATCAAAATGAAAGGCATGTAAATCGTTTTGAATAGTAAATAACATGGTTATATTTGCATTGTAGGCATAGTGACTCTTGGTTCCCATCACCACCACTGTAAATAAATCTGAGTCAATCATTTCTCTACACTGACCTATTTCACTTCAAAAGACTCTGAATGATTTTTCAAATTTCAAAATTACACAGAAATTTTGAAAAATCAGTGGAATTCCCCTTCAACCCATACAGGGAAGCACTAAACTACCTCTCTCTGTTTACACTGGTGTCCTGCACTGTTAATGCCATCACTGCCATCCTATACATGTGGTCTGAAACGCTCTCAGGACACTGCACGTTCCTGTACACCCAGCCGGTGCGTGGCACGCGCTGAAACAAACAAAAAACAAACAAACAAACAAAATGAGTCTTTGCAAACTCTTTAAACAGCAAAACAGCAAAAAGGCAGAGCTACTCCCCCCTGCGTGGCTGATGACCCTGCTCAAAAACATGACAGAAACCATTTAAAGTTTTCTGGTGGTGTCCAAGATTCAGTAATGCTATTTGTGTTTTGGGTTGATATCATAGTGTAAAGGATTATAATGGTTTTCAAAGGTTTTCTGGGACTCCTGATGCACTTCATGGTTTTCTAATGGGATCTAAAGGTGTCCTACGGGAAACTAGTGGTTTCCATTAAGGTAACCACTAAGCTTATTCCCATTACAAAGTAAAAACATAAGGTTGTAATCCTAATGGTTCCAATGATCTCTTTTCAGCAGGATTCGATGTTCTCTTGATGGCAGTTCCCACATTTTTGTTCATACATTTCAAAGCAGTAGTCTTGCGTGAGAGTGAAAAAAAAACCTACAATTCCCATGATTCATTGGGTGCAAGCTAGCTGGCAAGAAGCACACAAATACCACTAACTTAGCTCTTCTACGAACGTTGAGCTTTCCTAAACAACATTAGCTAGCTAATTCAGCTAATAAAGTGAAGTTTTATTAGTTTATTAGTTGTGTAAAATCACGTTGTGTCTTAAGTGAACCCTCTGAAACTTTGATGATTAGTTTCAAAAGCTTCTCCGTCCATAAACAGTATTATACGGAAAAATGAAGTAAAAGGAAAACCGAAAATAGCAACCAAAAACAAAAAATGAAGCTGAAATTGGCCTTTTATTCGAATTTTCCACCTTAGCGTTAAATTGTGCAGCAGTTAGGTTAAGTTACAGGATATACTGCATCATTTAAGGTGGAACGGAAAATTGGAACAATAAAGTTAATCTCAGCCTTAGCTTTTTTCGTAAACGAAAAACAGATTCAAACTCAAGGGAAGAAGACCAAACGTCCGTTATCAACTAGCCATTCTTCTTAAGTACTGCTTAATGTTTACCTTCAGCTGCCCTACTAGCTTCATGAACTGCAGCATGTTGTCCATTCTGTTCCTCCCGTCACATTAACCCACAGTAAACTGTAGCGCCTCCTATGGGTAGGAATACAAACTGAACGCTCAGCTCCGGCGTTGGCTTACACACATCACTAGATGGCAATATATTCATACTCAAAAACGATCCATGTATATTTTGGGCACTTTCTGTTAAGTACTGGGTACTGAAACCACACCGAGCTCTTCGCATGTTCTGCAAAATCCATTGAATGGGTGACTTAGTTGATTTTTTGCAGGATTTATATTTCATTTAACAAATAGCTCTTAAAAATAACACACCCCCGGTTTAAATAAATAAATACATTTTTGAAAAAAAGGGACATACCTATCACCCACAGCCTTCTATTTCAACGCAAATAAAATACAAATAGTGGATATAATTGCAAAAGTGATAATAAAAAATGTAGCTCCTTTGGTTGAAGATTTCTCCTCAGCTCTCCCAGCCAGCACATAGATTTATTACAGATTTTATTACAGATGCTCGATTTAAATAATGAAGCCAAACAAGGTAATGAAGGATAACCACAAGTAACACTGGGCTTCCTCAAACAGAGCTTTATTATGTCTTATTATGTCTTCATTAGAGCTTTATTAAGTCTTAAACAAACATGCTGACAAACACAAAAACAGTATTAATATTATTTTTATTTACTGTAATATTAGTGTTTTTCCAAGCAAATAAACACTTACTGCACAGATAAATATGTTTTTAAATATAACTTTCTAAGGTGCCTTTTGCACACACTAAAAAATGGTATTTTAACTTTAAATTTAATTTAATTTAAATAGTCAGTAACAGGGCTGACTTAAAAGAGGTTTTTTTTTTACTACAAACTACTACAAACTATGAAGAGTAAGTCAGCAGAATGTAAGAGAGATTTTTATTTGTGCTGTTTTGTTAACTCTGTTAACTTTTTAACACCTATTTTTTTAACTCATTATTTGTGTTGGGAGCAAATGTATTGACAGGAACGATGGCCTTCGCTTTGGCCTCCTCTCATCCTGTGACCTCATCATAAGTTGAAAGTGTAGCAGTCTTGCGCTTTGCGAGTGTCTGTGGGAATCTGATGTTATCTTAAAAATGGAAACACTCCCTGATACGGCGCGTCACATGGTGGGCAAAACTCTACGCTGCTCTTAAAGCGCTTACAAAGTTGGGCTGTTTTTATCCTCCTGTCTTTAGTGGATGTTGTCGACTGTTGCAACTCTCTTGTCCTTGGCATATATGCGGTGTACAATGTTTCTTTAGTGTTTGTGAACTTGTTCAGAGACATTTTTGTACAAATCTAAAAACACCAGCATTTTTCAGCCTAAACTCTATCAGATACATCTGTATTGTGCAATCATTTTGACATGTTTCTCTGTATTCAGTAAAAGAACAAAGCATGAACAAACTAAGCACGCTTATAATAGAAGCCAGCATCTGCCAATTGACTTCTGTGATGTGTTTTGTGTTAGTGGGTTTTCTTTCTTTTACTTTGCACAGGAAAACACATCAAAATAGTTGTCTGTGGTAAATGACCACTCAACACAGATGTGGCAGGCTGTAAACACTGTATTCATTTAAGATCCTCAATTCATCTTTAATAAAATCATTAAGAATTGCATTTTAATAGGCCTACAGTGTAAGTTAAAGGGAAATTTCACTATTTTCTATAAAATTCTACATAATTCAATGGCTGAGAGGTGAACATTCATCCTAAGTGGTTTGATTTGAAATAGTTTCACTGTAGAGGAACTTACTGACTCAGATTTCTTTACAGTGGTGGTGATAGGAACCAGGGGTCATGATGTCTACAACACAAATATAGACACTTTGTTTACTATCCAAAACCACCAATGAGTTTTGATGTGTAATGTTCATGAAGGCAAAACAGTGGTAAATCTAAAAAACAAATTGGGGGGGGGGGCTATTTTGCTTTACACTGCCCCCTCCCCCACGAGTGTATTTAAAAAATATGTTCAATGCCAAAACTTTATTTTAAACAATCACAAAAACATTCACATAATTTCACACAATCATGGAATTTCAGTAAAGTAGCTTTTAGAGGCATCTGGTTCCTATCACCACCAATGTGGACAATTCAGACTCTAGACTGGAGCATGTCACATTACTCTGAATGACTGTTTACATCTTGAAGATTGAATCTTGGTGAAAATTTTGGTGGCTTTCCCTTTCGGCTGTGCTTTGAATTTAGCTGGATCTTTTATTCGTTTACGCTGGTGAGTCAGACACTCACAGCACCTTCACAGAAAGCTATTTTTTGTGAAAATTTGTCTGTCCAGGAAGGACGGTCTATCTCTAATTATGGTGCAGGGGGGATATGAGCGTCTTCCTCCCTGAAGAGCCTCGCTGCTAAATATACATGCAGTATGTTCGAATGCTGATGACACACTTTTAGCCCTCATCACTGAGGTCACGCTCGTCCACCTGTGTCCGAACACTTCCTCGCCATGCTTTTTCCTGGAGTGGCCTACACACTGTTTGGATGGTGTAGACAATGCATACTCTTCCAGGGAGCTGCATCAGCCCTGATTGAGCAACGCAGCAGGAAGGATGTGTCACTGATGCGGTGCACGTGTGCTCACTGATGGGTGATTAGCTTTGTCATGGCCTGAGAAAAGGCTGGGGATAGTTTTAAAAACAGCATGAATTACAGTTTTATTAAAAAAGGAAAGCTTTTCAAACCTTTTGAATGTAACAATTAATTAGTTCATTTTTATTTTAAATTGTTAATAACATACAAAAAGTTAAAATAATTAACTCTGTTGAGCTGGCTTATTATTCCACTATTACCAGAGGCCTATCTAGGAACAAACATTATAAGTTAGTATGTGGCTATACATTTTACAGTATATAGTCTCATGTGATGGTTTGATCAAATGATGAAATGACAAAGTGACCTGTGACTTTTCGCTGCACTCAGGGATTTGTTAAATTCCATCAGCAGCGCTGATTTCACCCCTTAACATTCCAGGCTTTTTTTATACTAAGGCTCATTATTCAGTAACTACAATGCAAACTAATGGCGCTTTTCTTAGGTTATAGAAGTGTGTAATAGAACTTTGGGTCCGCTGGCAGGCCCATGACTTGGTAAGATGTTAATTTAATGCAAGATTAATTAGATAAACTTGGTATTGGATGGTAACTGTAAATACTTTCTTTCTTCTGGAGAGCTAACACACTCATGTCATACCACAATGTATTGTTTATTTGTTTATTTGTATTTATTCTAGTTTTTTTTTCTTAAGCAAGTGCCCAAATAATCAGCTTTGCTTCTCATTGTTCCAGAAGCTCATGACTTTTGCACAGTACTGCACAATAACTGATGTTTGATTCAACTGAATGAACCCACTGAAATGACCAGTGTGACTTATGCAGTATCTACTCTACTATGAAACTAATACAGTCGTATGCAACAGTTTGAACATTACTGATCTAATAACATGTTTTGTTGGTTTAACATACTAGAAAAAATAGAACATAGCACATTAAAAGTGCCATTCACAGGCCACATTAAGCAAAACAAACAGTAAGTGTGTATTAAATGTGCTCTGTAGAGGATCTGTTAACTTATTTTTTACTCAGAAAATTGACAAAGTGTGTCATTTGACCAAACTTTTGCATATGAATGTATGCTAGTTATCTAATTATGAGAGTAAACACTTGTAGTAAGCTGATGTCTCAGTAGCTAACTAGCTAAATTTCCCGCAGTTCAGACACCTGAGGTGTCAGAATGTAACTGCTGCAGCATTTAATGTGGAATGGGAAAATCTGAAGAAGAAGCTGGCAAATAGCTTACTTCAGCTTCATATCACCAAAGAATTAAGCCTGGGCAATAATAAATAATTGTTGGGTCGCCTACAGAGCACCACTAGTAGCCTGTTAATAAAGTAATGATCTTTTTTATTTGAGGGTTGTTCCATTTCATAGGGGAAGATTTCACCCACTACCCTTGTAACTCAGTTCCAATGGGCAAGGTGACACTCAAAAACAAGGGGTAGAGGTAAAAATAAGAAATGGGACTGGGCCTTAGGCTCTATTTTCAACATATAAACTCAAACAGGTGAGGTTCATTTCATTCAGCAGACGTTCTGTTTCCCTGTACAACACAGTGAGTTTGTACTGTAGCTATTATATGTTATCAAGTGAGATATTACCCAATCATATCGAGATGAAGAGATAAAAAAGTATAAATGCAGAAAATGATCGGGCCTGTTTCACAAATACCAGGAAATGTTTAAAAATGGCTTTTCCCATCACATTGTAAACAATATTATAGACGTACATCAGCATTTTTCGGCCTAATCTCTACCTGCCACATTTGGAACTTTACAGTCACTTACCATGGACAATAATTTGAATGTGTTTCCATGTACTAAACAAAAGAACTGAAAACACATTGCTTCAGCTCCCAGCTCCACTGGGTTCTATTATAAGTGAAAGTCATGTTGGCATGTTTTAGTTCTTTTCTAAATACAGGAACGTTTTTAAAAATTACTGTCCATGCTAGTCAGACATTTGAGACAGATGCAGCAGATAGGGATCAGGTTGAATAACACTGGAGTGTTCCTTTTATATGGTATATGTGTTTTCTTTTCAAATAAAACTTAATTATTCCTGCATTTATTTTAAGCATGAGGCTCTTTACTTGCCCAGAAGTCCACTTGACATTGAGATTCTCATTTCGACTTGTGAATGAGGCTGATTCCCGTCGGACCCTGCGGGGATTGCCTCTTTTCACAGGTAGACGTGAGGAGTGTCAGAGAAAGAAAAACATCCACACGGCTTCCGTTGTCAAAACAATGATAGCTGTGCACCTCCTTTTATTTACAGGAAACACATCGTTCCTCCCCCATCCTCTTCTGGCAGAACAAAACAGACAAACGGCCAGCCCTGCGGAGGAACACGGGTCTGCTGACCGCTCATCTCTCTCAGCATTGTCCCATCCTGCTATTTTTAACCGGATGGCTGTATTGCATTTGAAATGTTAGCCTGACCTCTGACCTCAGTTAACCAGAGGGGCTCTAAAATTA